GTAATTCTAAATACCAAATGGTAGGAGGCCTTTCTCTTACGCCACTTTTTCCCCTAGTGGAAGCTGAGTTTGCTCGCGGGTGTACATTTGAAGAGTAAAGTCCTGTAAAAAACTAGGATTCTGCATCATAATTTTTTTCGTCATCACTAGACTGGAGATTTTATGCATTTATAGGCTATAGGGTTCTGTGAAATACAATAAAAGATAAAAGATTCATCTGATCCAACGAGTTTTATATTTTATTCGGAATCCGTAAGAACACTTAAGAGGAAAAATGAACATCTGCCTTTGGTCCTGACTTTATAAATTGCTTTAGAAAATGTTGTTTCGCAAAGAAAAATGGCTGTCTAGTCATCACTTTCATCGTTCAGAACAAAGTCTTTTTCACACTCGTCAGTTGAACTATCACTTTTCACGCGTTTCCTTGTGGTGCATTTTTTGAAATTGTTTGCGACGTTCAAGACTTCTCCGCAGAGATGGGCAAACTCATTACCTAGATAAAAAGTTTCGAATAACGAATAAAAGATAAAAAAAAAGTATTTCGTCATTTCCAATTGTTTAAACGTAGAAATTTCAAATTTTATAATAAAATAATACTTGTTTATTTAATCTCATTAACTGTTTAAAGCTCAGAACGACACCCTTAGATAGTGCTGCTTTTTATTGTCTATTATTCGAATAAAATTCTGCCCAACTCTGCTTCTCCGTAACGGTGATAAGCTTCTCATATTAGGCTACTTTACCCTATCACTGGTCCAAGTGCATCGATGTTAACAGGGGTTGCATTGAAATCTGTTAAAAACGATACAAGTTGTCTTTCCACTCCGCTCGGAGAACTTTTCAAATGATCTACGTATATGGGTAGGAAAGAAGCTCGTCGTGGATCGTGTTCCTAGGAAACGAGCGATCTACTCGTGATCATTTTTGCGCCGGCGTATGGCGACCGGTGCACGGCATTCCCCCCCTCGGTCGGTACACCTTCGTCCTACCTTACTTTTCTCTCCACTTTGTCTTTTTCTCGCGTTTCCGTTTCTCTGTCATC